CTCAGCCTCTCCTCAGAAGACTTGTTCTCCAGACCCCTAATCAGCCTAGTTGCCCTTCTCTGCACTCTCTGCAGCACCTCAATGTCCTTCCTACACTCTGGTGCCACACGCGAGGTGGCAGGATCACCTCCCTGGTCCTACTGGTCACACTATTCCTGATGCAGGCCAGGATGGTGTTGGACTTCTTGGCCACCTGGGCACACTGCTGGCTCATGTTCAGCTGGCTGTCAGTCAACACCCCCAGGTCCGTCTCTGCTCCAGCCACTCCTCCCCAAGCCTGAGTTCTGCTGGGGGTTGTTGTGGCTGAAGTGCAGGACCCTACATTTGGCCTTACTGAACCTAATGCAATTGGCCTCAGCCCATCGATCAAGCCTGTCTCTGCAGAGCCTCCCCACCCTCAAGCAGATCGACACTCCCACCCAACTTAGTGTTGTCTGCCAGCTCACTGAGGGTGCACTTGCTCCCATCATCCATATCATCAATAAAGATGTTGAACAGGAGCAACTCCAGCGCTGAGCCCTGGGGAACACCACTTGTAACTGGCCACCATCTGGATTTAACTTCATTGAACACAACTCCTTGGACCTGGCCATCCAGCTAGTTTTTTTACCCAGCAAAGTGCCTTTTAAAGCACACGTTGTTGTCCAGCTGTGCTGGTCTTGGGTATGATGGACACCTCAAGTCTTTTTTTATGAGTAGACCAGGGAGAAGTGGAAAGGCAGTTTTCTCTCTGCTTCCGATTTCTGCAGAAGTCACTTTGCTTGAGCAGTGGCTAAAGGTGCTCCCCAGGATGCTGAGCATGCAGGCTGGACTCTGTCTTCTGTGTGATCCTTTTGGTATTGGGAGAGTGGGTGTAAGCACTTGCTTTGGGAGTTTCAGGGCTGTGGCATATGGATGGGAAGAGGCACAATTCCTTGTGCCTCTCATCGAGCCTGCTGCACTCTGGCTTTTAAAAGTGCTCAAATTTCTTACCCACTAACTGCAGATACCACTTTATTTCTTTTTTGAACTACGTCGACCTTCACTTCCAGCTTTGTAATGAATTTATGAGTGTGTTAAGCAAAATATTCTCACTCTGAGGATCAGATGTCTTATTTGGAAACAAAGTAAAACTGTAAGGTTAACTTTGCTCAGTATTGTGGTACTGCAGGCTTTATTGTCATAACTTTATATTTAAGTCTGCCCTTTTTAAAAATTTTATAAAAAAAAAGAAAAGCTGTAGTAGCTCTGGCCTTTTGCTTTTTATTATTTTTTAGGATTTTATTAATTTCTTGATCCCAGCCTCTTAAGTTATCATTCCAAGTCCCTCTGCCTTGGAGCATGCCTTAGCTGCTGAAGTGACCACCCCATCTATGGGAAGGCATTTGAGCAGTACAGAAAAATATCCCTTTAAAGCCTTTAAAATATGATGGAGGTAAGCAGAAATAATCTTGACCTATGCAGAGGGTGCCTTAATTCATTTGCTGGTGAGCTAGGCATAATGGTTAGTGCCTTTGACTGTCTCTTGAGTATTGTTCTAAAAGATGGAAAGAATAGGTTTTTTCAGTTCCACATTTTAGTTTGAGTTCAGCTTTAATCATCCACTCTCCATTGTCTCAGAAGTTTAAAAGAATTTTAAAAATACCACATGGATAATTAACACCATTCTGGAAAAGAAGCCTGCATTTTTTAGTTTAGAAGATACGATGTGTTTAGTAGAAATTTGTGTTAGATTAACTTACTGTAAACATGTTCCTTTTTCTAGATTAGTTCTGAGCATGCCACAGGATAACTTGTAATGGGATACTTTATCTTTCTGGGGATGTATAAGGACCTACTTATTCGAAGATGGAGTGGTGCACATATGGTAGTTAATTTGAGAATCTGATCAATATAAAATGTCCTTGATTTGTGTTGTTTGTTCATGTTTTTTTGTGAAGAAATGCTCAACAAGTTCATTGTGTGTGATGTCTGATTTGTATCCCAATAGCTTAAAGACTGACCTCTGTAAAAGGGAGACACTGTCTACCTGTTGCAGAATTCAAAATTACTCCTTGCTAATTTTTATTTAATTATTTAATGATTTAATTTATTTAATTTTTGGGTTTATTTGTGGTATTGTATCCATCGTATACATGTACATTTTATAAAAATCAACTTGCATTTAGAAGTACAACACTCTTTGTTTTGCTTTGAGATATTCCAGTTTCCAGTATTGAAGCAATAAAATATGGACAAAAGTAGATGTTGCAGTGAAATTAAAACTGCCAAGTAAGGTGTGGGATTTGTGGTGAGTTTTCCAGATTAATTTTATAGACTTCATCTGAAAAAAAAATAAAATAAATGTTCCCTCCCTTCCCACTTCTTCTTTCCTCTCTTCCATATTTGTCAGAAGTGGACATTACACCTGGAACTTCAGTATGAATTTTAGCCTGGAAGTGCTCTTTCTGCATGAAGAAATTGTGCCCTTTGAAGAATCAGTGGTCTTTGGCAGAAGGCTTTGCAAACCTACATCTGCAGCCTTCCTTAGTGCAGTTACTGTACGGTTAACTGCTTTCTTGAAATGCTTCTGCCTCTTGGGAAGTCAGAAAGCAAATGAGAAGTTGTTAGTCACTTGTTAAAGGGAAGGAGGCACTCTGGATTTTAAGGTACTCTCAAAAGTGTTGTCCCAAATAAAGTAAAGAAAAACAATCACAAAACAGGAAATTACAAGGTAATTTGAGAAGGAAACCAAGGAGATGATTTTTTTTTCTTTGCACAGTTGAAGGAGGAAACTTTTTCTTTTTAATAGTTGGTAAGCAAAATGGAAATTGTAAGCAGAAGTAAGGAGTGAGAAGAGGAATTGCTTTTTCTGGTGAGTTATTAAGGAACAGAAAAAGAAATCAATTTTGCACAGGCTAAGAAGTAAAACCGAATTTGTTTGTGGGTTTTTTTTTTCTTCCCCCCCTCCATAATATCTGAAAAAAAAATATTTTCAGAAATCAGATGTTCATTAAGTTGTCTTGGGATTTTGGTAGTGCTTCCTTTTAATTTGACTTTTTTCTTTGACTTAAGTGCAATGAAACGGAAATCTTTCCCCTAGCTCTATCATCAGGGGAGAACATGCACTGCACTTCCTAAATTTCTTCTTCTCTTTCTTCTAATGTCTCAAGTCTTTTGAAATTTGAAAGTTAAGCCCTAGTTGTGTTGTCTGCATCATTTGATGCTCTCTTCCAGGCTTTAACTCAGCTGTTTTGAAGATTGCATGCTGGCATTGGTGCTCTGTTTTCTGTGAGTGCAGATAATTTGCTGCTGCTTATACTTGAATTAATTTTTGTGTGGGGTTTTTTTGTGTGTTTTACAGTAACAGGAGAGCAGTTAGCATTTTGTGGCATTATACATATTATTGGTCTCCAAATTTGGGTGTCCATTTTATATAGATGGGTGTAATATCTGGATATGTATTTAGCTGAGAAGCAAACTGGTGCTGAATAATACCTGGCTGTACAGTTTTAAAACATATTCTCTCCAACTTCTGTTTAGCTTTGAAAGCATCCTCAATGGTGTGTGTGAATGCAAGGAGGAAGTACTTGATGTGATTTTCTTCTCTCTTGGAAGGTTTTTGTTTGTGTTCCATGTGATGTTCTTACACCTCCCAGACCAGAAAGTGGTTATGCTGCTGATTTGTTGTGCTGTGCTCAGATTAATTACCTGTGGTTTGTTGTCCAAGTGAGAAGGCATTTCAAATGAGGACTTTGTAGGTCCCATATTGTTTCCATTAATGACTTAGGTGATGCAGTTGTAAAAACTACATGTGGTGCTGAGGACTGGCAAAACTTTTGGAGGCTGAGAGTAGTTCCTTTTTTGTTGGCTTAATGTTGAAGGAACAAAAATACAACAGGCTGAAAAAATTAAATGTGCAAAAGGAAAATGTAGTATCGCAGAAAACTTCCTCTTAGATGTTCCAGTGGCTTAAGCAAGCACGGTAAAACTGTTCCTTGCTGTCTGCCATCCCTTTCCATAGGCACTTGGATAACTTTTTCATGCTTAACCTGGGACTGCCTGCTGTGGGGAGGTAATGGGAAAGGCCAGCAGCTCCAGCTGGCCTCCAGACTGGAAAGAGTTTCTGGGGACAGCAGTTGCTCCAGCTGTCCAAGATGAGTTTTCCTGTATTTATGTCAAGTGCTGATTTACAGTGGGATACTGCTATGAGCTTTCTCAGATCCTTTAGTGTGTATGGAAGATACAGGAGATTATTTTCTTCTCCTCTTACAGCTGAGACTTTCCTGGTAGTGAGCATCATACCCAGTTTGGAGTGTGACACTTAAAGCATAGCTGGGGCGATTCCAGCTAAAGCTCAAGAACAATGAGCTGTTTGAAAAATATGACTAAGGTGACTGGGTTTTGGTGGGTTTTTTGTGTGTTGTTTTTTTTTTTTTTTTAGAAAAAGAGAAATTATTAGAAGGTGGGCAACTATGATGGTAATTTTCAGTATGTCAAGCATTAACATAAAAAATGCTTGTGGCCAGTTACTCTGTGTTCTGGGGAACAGGATTAATTTCCAGCAAGAAAGTTTTAAGATTGTAGCGGTTGGCTTGTCTGTTTGTTTGTTGTTTTTTCTGTAAGAATACTGAATGAGAAGAGTGGAAGAGGTGAGCTGGGGAAGCTGTTGCGTCTTGGTTGTGGGAGGTTTTGAAAAACAGGTTAGACAAACACCACTTATGGCACAGGTGTACTTATCCAGCTTCAGAGCGGGGTGAACAGTGACTTCCCAAGGTGCCCTCAGGTCTTTCAATTTCTGTTCTGTGATTATATACACATATATGAGGCTAAACCGGAAACTCAAAGAACTCCATGTGCTTCTCATCTTCTAACCTGATCTGCTGTTCGCATTTCAAGCATCTGCACATCGCAGCATAAAACAGTGGAAGAACATTGTTACATTCTGTGCTTTAATTTTACAGCTTTAGATATGAAAAGACTTAGAGGCTACAGAAGTGAAAGCTGGTGCTAACTCCCTTTTTCCTCCTTCTTCTTTGCAGGTCGCTTGGTTGGTGCCCTGGATGCCGTATTAGACTCTAATGCACGTGTCGCTCCGTTTCGAATATTACTCCAAGTTCCAGGCTCACAGGTTTATTCTGCCATTGCATGTGGTGAGTTATTGAACGGATCAGAAGTTTACTGGGCCATAGCTATTGGTGAGTCACCTACAAAAATCCCTGAACCGATTCTGAGCATGGTCAGTGTCTGCATGTCCAGGAAGCTCAAGGTAACCCCAGCTAGTAGTGTGTGCGTGGAAAGTTTTTGCCTATAGCTTGTTTAACAACCAAATTAACCTCTGGTTAAAATCCCAAGCAGGAATTGTGAAAAAGTGCTACTCAGAGCATTACATTTATATTGAAAGCTTGTTTAGCTGAGGATGTTTTGTGTTGATTTTCTGTCTCTTGCAAAGAGAAATGTTCACATACATATCTGTCCCTACAGTAGTAGGAGTTCCTTACAGCAAGAAGTTTCTTAGTCTAGGCTTTCAGCAGTCTAGTCTTCCACTTACTCACTAGGAAATGCCTTACCATACTAGGTTATAATGAAATACAACTGGAATATTTGGTAGCTGCTGCATGGTTTAGGAGGTAGAGTTGTCAGAGCAGAATATGTAATTGCCTGGTGTCTTGTGCACTGATCTTTTTTACAGTGTTTCTGCAACCTCTGAATTCAATCTGTTATTTGAAAAAGTGACATTGATGTGGATTGAAGCAACCTGGCCATAGCACACTAAAGACCATCTGAATGCACTTGCTCCGTTCATCCTGTTCCTGCTTGGACAGTCAGCAGGGCTGCTCTCATCCCTTTTCTCCTGCATATAAAATCCTAGCATTGAAACTTATAGCAGGTTTTCCTTTTCAGTTGTTTCAAAGCTGCCTCAGAGGAGGTTCAGACTTGACATTAGGAAATGTTTTTTTTTGCTAAGAAGGTGGTAAACACTGGAACAGGCTTCCTATGTGGGTCGTTGATGCCCCAACCTGTCAGTGTTGAAGAAGCATTTGGCAATGCCCTTAATAATATGCTTTAAATTTTGGTGAGCCCTGGAGTGGTCAGGTTATTAGACTAGATGATTGTTGTAGGTCCTTTCTTATTCTATTCTGTTCTTTCTGTTCTTACATGGATCAAGCCATTAAATAGTTAGTGTTGACATGTTTTTGATGGTGTTTGACATACCATCCTCTAAATGGAAGGGACATTTTACTCCCTTCCTCTCTACAGGTTGATTCAGCATTGCTTCCTTGATTCAGGAGAGACCTGTCTGCACATTTCTAACTAGTACTGGGAATTTTTCCCTGTGCCAGATGTGTGTGAAGAAACTTGCATGAAGTCTATTTGTGTTGTTTTTGTTGTGGCTAGGGTTTTTTGAGTTTGCTTTGTGCTGTATATCCCTATTCCCTTCCTTTTTATACTTAAATAATACCATCTCATGGAGAAATTTAAGAGCTTCATGCTGTTACAGTCCTCTCATGAAGTCAGGTAACTTTCACAGGAAAAGCAAGCTCAGTTTTGCTGTTGTGAGCAACATTTGAGTATAAGTAATATCCCTTTGTGGGGCAGATCCTTGCCCTAGTCATGCTCATTCCCACTATTTTTCAGTTTTGCTTGGTTTGTTGGTTTTTTTTTAATATATTAAAGAGCTACAAATAAAAAAATTGCCTGGTTGAAATGGTTAAGGATTTTGCTGATATAAACTTGTTTGATTAATGTTTTCTAGCATTCTCTTTGGCTCTTTTGAATGGATGCTGAGCCCTGAGAAAATGAGATTTATACTAACAGACTGGGAAGCAGAGGGCTCTGTTTTGTATGCCGTGTGGGTAGGGTATAGATGGTTGCCAGAGCTGCGCAGAAATTAAGAGCCATAGTAGCAGAAGTTGTTTCTGAGTAATATCTATGCTGTGAAACCATGACGTGAGTGTCCAGGTGAGAGCTGGCACTGGCAGTAGGAGTCAGAGGGACAGCATCATACGATCTTTTTCTTAGAAAGCTGGAGGACTCTCCCTGCACAGAAGGAGCTGTCATTGCTCGCCCAGCTCTGCCCTGTTTCAAAGAGGTGCTTAGTGCAAACATGGCATTAGAGTTTTGTTACTGGATTTGAAAGAAGCAGCAAGTCAAATTAAGGGTCCTGCTGTATGGCAAGGACAAGGACCAGCTTCAGGAGCTCACTCCTGTCTCCTGGTGTGACTTCATTAAGGATAGTCATCATATCATTAGGCAGTCAATTAAAATGACATTTTTAAATTGTGTTTTGGCAGTTCCAGGAGCCTTAGGCTTAAATTATAATATATGTGTGAGGGTCATAGCTGAGTTAAAGACTTTTGCAAATCTCTGAAGGCTACTTGGAAGTCTGATCCTTGCCCAGAATGGCTGTTCTGGTAGAGATATTTTAATCCAGATGTTTAATCATGTTACACCAGTACAGGGGGGGAAAAAAAAAAGCCTGACCTCAACCCTAGTGTAGAGCCACATAGGACTCTCCTTTCAGAAGACATGTGGGCAAAACAGAAACCCAAGTCACAGTTCAGTGAAGTAGCTTTTGGGAGAGGGTGAGCAAAAAGATTTGGTGAGAATTTGGTTTAAAGAAGAGATTATGAGGAAGGGAGGCTGTGGTTAGACTACATATACACCTGGCATAGGCAGATAAAGAAGGCAGGTAAAAGGTGGAAAAAAATGCTGTACAGAGCATTCACTCAGGAAAGGGAATAAGGAAGAGAGGGGCAATGCTTGGCTCAAATCACAGGACAACCTTAAGCCATTAAGTGGAAATTATAAATAAAGAAGGGACTCAACAAG